ATGAATGCTCGGACCACAGTCTGTGCCCAGCTGGTGAAACTTCATGGTGTCAGCACAATGCCGCAAAAGCAAAGGGTGAGCCCGACCCCAGGCATGCCTACAATCTACCGAAAGACGTGGCAGAGGCATTACTACCGGTTTATACCCGGCTTTCGGAAAGAGCCCTGCTTCAGGGGTGCGAACGCGGCAAAACGCAGAACTCCAACGAGAGCCTACATTCGGTAATCTGGAGTTTGGCCCCCAAGGAGCACCATGCGTCCTTGTTCGCTGTTGAAGCAGCTGTTGCAGAAGCAGTGCTGCGCTTCAACACGGGCAATTTGAATTCTGCAACGGCAATCTTAGGTGAAATGGACATGAATGCGACAAGTACTGGTGCCAGGAGAGCGAGAGAAAAAGACCACTGTCCCAGCATTGTCTCCAACAAGAAAAGAACAGCCTCATTGGAACTCCGGAAGCTAGTGAAGAGGAGGCATGAGCACCGAATGCATTCAGACTATGCTTCTGGTGCGTTTTGAGGTTGTCTTGTTGCATCATCTGCAATAAAAATGTGTGCCCACGTTTTTTCTCGATTTCTCAAAACGACAATTTTCATGTGCTTCCCATTATGCCGGAGCAATATCTCTTGTTCTATCTGGGTTATCATTACGATTTCTTTTTTGTTTCGAAGATAAATGCAGGGGATGTGTCGTAAAGTAAGTTTTATTGTAATAATTTTTGGAGAAAATTCTCTAAATGGATCTTTTGTTTCAAGTGTAGATGGGGAAATTTTTCATGTCATATTCAACATCCCACAACTTTGCTTTGAAATAGCCCAGAACAATGATTTATACTTTATTGCACACTGTGAACATACCGAATTGGTTCTATAGGTTGCACATCAATATCCAAGTTACAGTTAATTAGCTAATTAGGCCTTAATTGAAAAAGTCGCAGTTCATTATATCTTTAAAACTAATTGTCACAGCAAAAAAAGAATTAGATTTTTGAAATCAGCAGTAAAATCTACATAGGCTCTCCAAATTTGACTGAGGTACTCGCAAAAATAAAAGAGTTTTTGGAAGGTGTAGCATCCCCCCTTAAGGGGGGAGGTGGCATTGGAAAAAACCTTTTTTATTCGTTGACCTACAGCAATGAAATATGGCATGCATACTCATAAGTCTCTCGAATAGGGAAATATGCAGTTTCATCATGATAGCTTCAGTAGTTCTCAAGTTACATAATGCTAGACGATCCAATTACATGGTCTGCTCATGGAAAGCCTAGCACTGCAACAAAACATGCCAGGAAGCTGTGGATGGTGTTTATCTTTACTCAAAAGAAAGCTACAGGGTATGGCACTCTCAGAATTTTTTAATAAGTTTTCTTTTTTTTTTTAGAGATCATCATGGCTGCCGACACTCATTGTCAGAAACAGTGGCACGGACAAATCGTCTAGAAAAATAACAGGGCCATAAAACAGAAATTGAAGATTGCTGTACCCACAAGCAGTGTTCAAGGATTCAGGAAAAAAAAAAACAGAATCAAAATCGGTCCACTCATTCCCGTGCTACTCTTTCCACGAGCGATGCACAATGTCCAAGACACACTTGTGAGAAAAACCCTGTCGAAGTTTTCGACAAGCTTTTTTCAATGAACTTTTTTGTTTCTCGTTGGATATCGATGAAAATTGGCACAGACACTAAGAATGAGCTCACAGTGCTTCCATAAAAATTTTGAAGCGATACCACAAACACTTTACAAGAAACAAATTATTTCTTTATTCAACCATGTGGAGGGGCTGAGCATAATGTCAAAAAAAAAAAAACGGAGTTGAAAAAGCCGCGTTTAAAGTTTCAACTTTTCTTTATGTCTCTAAAACACCTAAAAATTGTGATCTCAGGTTTGTCTTGTGATACTTGACTTCTTTTCATGATTTACTCCTTTTCATGATTTACAAAGAACAAGTAAGGATTTCAAACCAAGTTCTTTGTATGATGGAGTGGTGTGATAGGTATGACAGAAAAGATTGTAATTGAATAAAACCATATACTGAAATCATTACGCATACTTTTTGTGCTGAAGTTATAATTAGCGTAATTAAGTACTTGATTACAAATATTTACTGAACTTTTCTTTACTTGGAGAGAGGTTTATTGGATCAGAAAAATGGATCACACCATGACGGCCTATGCCTTCTTTCTAAATAACAAAGTTATGGGCAGAAGACTGGTGGCACAGGAATTTTTAGCAGTATTATTAATGACGTGAAACGGGCATATAAAAATTCGTGCCCCTAATTCATACATTCTCTTTTGCCGCTCAAGCCGTGAAACGCGTCATCATACAGCCAGTTGCGGAAACTCTAATCTACAGCAATTCATTAACCTTGGAGCATTCATAGACGTTCATGGCGATATCAAGCACGGCTCCAAGCACGTCTGAATCGCATCACAAAAGCTTATTGATAGCACTCCATATGACCGTGGGGTGCGCAGTCGCCTGGACAGTGCAGCCGGCACGTAATGCACTTGCCGGAGGCGTTCAATGACGATGCCCGAAATGTGTAACTACAAAGACGAAAAGGCAAGGTTTTGGCGTTGCATAAATCAGTTGCCAGACTTTGGGGTGGTTGTTGCCAGACGGCCGCGAAATTTGGCGGAAAATTTTTTTCTCTAGTTGTGGCTTTTTTGTAAGAAGTTGGTGCCATCCGCGGTGCATTTCGCGAGTGCATGAGCGATGCTGGCCGTTTTAATTAACGGAATGAACCGATCCTAGCAGAATTAGAGCGTGGTGCTGCCGTGCAGTTAAGAAGCCGTTTTAATTAACGAAATGAACTGCGCATTACAGAATTCATTTTAATTGACGGAATGAGCCAAGCCTAGCAGAAGTCGAGCGTGGCGCTGCCGTGCAATTAGGAGGCCAATTTAATTAACGAAATGTAGTAAGGGGGGAGGGGGGCAGCGCATCACCTCCTGCGACTCTATTCAGTTTTCCCCGTCATCTCTAATACTGAGACTCGATATCTTAATGGCACAGCTGCGCACACAGCAAGAGAACGCGCCTCGACTTCTGATAGGCGCGGTTCATTTCGTTAATTAAATTGGCCTCTTAATTGCGCAGCAGCGCCACGCTCGACTACTGCTAGGTGCGGTTCATTCCGTTAATTAAGACGGCCAGTGTTGCTCGTTCGCGAAATGCACCGCGGATGGCACCAAAATCTCACGGAGAAGCCACAACTACAAAAAAAAAGGTTTGCAGTTAAATTTAGCGGCAGTCTGGCAACACTGACTCTCCCAGTCTGGCAACCACTTATGCAACGCCAAAAGGAACCTTGCCAACAAAAAATCGGCACGCACTGCACTTGGCATTGCATTTTTGAATGACGACGCGCGAAATTGCTAGCCGCTGTTCCGAGCGATCCTTGGCAGTGAAGGGGGGGGGGGGGGGGTGACGAGCTTGATTGTGTTGTCCGCTGCCGATGCATAAAATGCCCGTACGTGATTCAGAGGAGCTAGCGAGTGATGTGGTACATTCCTTGCGAAGAAGCACGTTGCCAAGAGTGCGCTTGCGCATCGTTCCTGTCCGCAGTCTCGCTGTCAGCGGAGTTAAGCCTGAAGCCGACTCCAATGACGCGTCGCACTCGTAGACCGCCGCGCGCCCGCTCGTAGTAATCTGATCGTGCATCCGGTGCGGCCACTTGTAGTAATCAGATCGTTCCGCCGCTTACAGCTTCGTTGCTTGCGAAAAAGCACGTCGCCACGAATGCGCTCGTAGTAACCTGATCGCGCATCCGCTTACTGCTCGTAACTAAAGCGTAGTTATATCTTAAGTGATTATCAAGGCGTGAGCACGTCACGAAGTGGCGATTTTCGAGAGCCATGTCCTCGCGACGCACAAGCAGCAGACGACGATCTCTCGGAGCGAGCATCGGGCCAATGGCGAGGCAAGCTGAGGCAACAAGGCGGCCACGGCCAATCAAGAGCCTCAAAACGACCTTCAAACATTTGCTTTTTGCTCGCTTGTTGTTAAAGGGAGGAGCCAGCTGAGGCGGGAAAGTTAAACACGGAGAAATGCTCTTTCTGATGAGCCCAAGAAGCCGGCTCCCGGCCCAAGCATCGCGAAGCTATAATTTGTTGAAAATCGCCGTTTTCTCGCCATTTCTAGAAAAAGTTATGCTACCTAGGTGGGTGAAACGAATTTTTCGAAGCACTTCTCCGCGGTTTTCAGTGTAGATATCTTGGAACCAGATAGAAAAAGGGTTACAGAAACTATTTCTAAAAATCGATTTTTTTGCCATTTTTTGCGATCCCAAAGTCGCGTCCCCCCTTAAAGGCATTGCTTAGCCTTGGACTGATACAGTAACTGCTTCGTATCCGAAAATGTTTACTCTAAAAATACCCTACCCAGTTTCTGATGGTCCAAGTCTGCAGTAACAGAAGCATTGGTCGAGGAACGTAATCAACGAGCCATATGTGTTTTTTTTATTGCTATTCATAAAACACGGACGTGCCAAACGAACGTTTCTGTGATCTTTTTTGTTCATATATGTACAAGCTAATCTGTGATAATCATGTCACCTTTAGTCATGTAAAAACAAGGTTCTATGGTTCTATATCTCATCCTTAGTTTTCTCTACTAGGTTAGTTTAATTGCGTGAGATATTTATTATTATGTCCTTTGTATATTATTATTATTATTCTTGTATAGCATAAAGAAAATCATTATTTTATGTCATTTTTCATGGATGCGGTACATGTCTTAAAATTCTGTCTAGCGACACGTGCTCCAAAACAACCTAAGCCAGTAGCATTCTATAAATTATATCCATATTTTTTAATGCGTGTACCTGTCTCATTTTCCTTCATGGCTTGCGACAAGTTTTCTTCTTTTGTTTGCATCTGCACTTACTTTTTAGTTTGTATTGCCAGTTAAGGAGATAAAAGAAAATTTAATGTGCGATATGTGTAATATACTGTACAAACTTGCTTACAGGAACCTATAAACTTCCTGAATTTTTCCAGGTCCATCTCTATTTACTTGGACACGCTGAACATCTTCATCAGGATTGCCATGCTGCTGGCTGGTGGTGGCTCACGAAGGAAGTGAAATGGCAACATTTGAAAAGTGCGATGGTTGTACGGTTGCAGCACGCATGTAGATGCAAAATTCTCTGCTCCTGAAAATGAAGCAAGTTGTGCGAATACAAATCCCTCTGCAGCGTCTCCAGTATAGTCCAAGCAGCAAGTTTAAATAAAATTACAAATAACCATGTTCAACTTTGTGTTGCCTGTCATTTCTTGTAAGTAAAAGTTGTATGTAGTGGAAGTGACTCGTGTCGTAGACTCCACCTTCATCACTTTCAAGCTGGGGTCTTTTTCAATGAACGTGCAGTAATGCAAATACAGTAGAAGCTCGTTGATTCGACACCCGTTAATTCGGATAATTCGGACGGCTCTATTGGTCCCGGCCAAAGTGCATGTTAATCTATGGGACCAAACCTTCGTTATTTCGTCGGAATTCGGCTCCGCACAGCTTAATTCGGACAAATGCTGACGGCTGCTGCTACACAAAAGTGTGATAAAGCAGCGCTGGCACCACTGCAGTGAAACCGAAATCTGAGTGGCATCGCCATCATCATCAACTAGTGGGGGCAATCGCAGCGTCTTCGAACGTGGGCGTCTTCTTTCTTCTCCACTCAGCGCCTCCAACGCCATTTTCCCTTGCGTTGTCGTGTCGGAACCATCTCATCTTGCGGAGTTCTCTTTTCCTTCCATTGTGACCGTATTTGCATGCCACCACCATCGTGCGCTACAGTGATGGCAACGCCGAGAAAGCGGCAGAACTACGACGCGAAGAACTTGGCGACTAAAGTGGAAATTTTGGAAGCACTGAAGAACAGCGAATCGCGACAGCAGGTTACGACCAAGTACAACGTGAAGCGGAGCACGTTGGGAACGTAGGTGAAAAATGAACGACAGATTCGACAAGCCTTCGAAAGCGAGAAGTTTCATGCCTCTAGAAAGCAGTTGCGAACCCTAGCTCATCCCCAGCTCGAAGAAGCTTTGCTCCGGTGGATTACTGAATGTCGCAACGCGCATCTGCCTTTGAGCGGACCTCTCATCATGGCGCAAGGTGAGAACTACACTGCAATGATGAACATTGAATCGTTCAAAGCGTCAGAAGGGTGGTTTGCGAGGTTTCGAGAGAGACACGAACTTGTCTTCAGGAGTGTGTGCGGCGAAAAGGCCAGTGTTGACGAAATCGTGACCACCGAGTGGAGAAATGTGAAGCTGCTGGAGCACATCGCCGCATATGAACCACGTGACGTGTTCACTGCAGATAAAACTCCTCTATTTTTCAGAGCTCTGCCCGACAAGACGGTGACTTTCAAAGGGGACGCGTGCATTGGTGGCAAGAAGTGCAAGCAAAAGATAACTGTGCTTTTTGCCGCCAATATGACTGGCACGGAGCGCTTGCCACTACTTGTCGTCGGGAAGGCGCTTAAGCCACGTTGTTTTAAGAACTTCAAAAGCCTTCCTGTCGAGTACACAGCGAACAGGAAGGCATGGATGACATCGGACATTTTTCGCAGCTGGCTGCAGCAGTTGGACCGGCACTTCACGTCGAAGGACCGCAAGATAATTATGGTTGTTGACAACTGCAGTGCCCATAACTGTACAGTCGAACTGAAGAGCATCAAAGTAGTTTTTTTGCCGCCCGACTCTACGTCTGCTCTTCAGCCGATGGACCAGGGTATCATTCACTACGTGAAGTCGAAGTACCGCAAGCACCTGCTAGAGCGAATGATCCTATGCTCAGAAGCTGGAAAGTTGTATCAAGTGGACTTACTCGGCACAGTGCACATCATCGCCCACGTGTGAAAAAACACTCCGCCGCAAGTCATCGCCAACTGTTTTCGGCACAGCGGTTTTGTGAGGCCCGAGCATGCAGCAGTAGCTGACAATGGCATCGAGCAGGTGTCAGCCGAGTGCACCTATGATGACTGCCCGACTTTCGATGCTGTCCTTCCTACAGATGTGACCTTTCAGGACTACATCGCGATTGATCATGGTGTCGCCACGAGTGGTCTCCTGACCGACCAAGAGATTATTATTGATGTCACGGGCGCCCATGAAGACGACGATTCCGATGAAGAATCATGCGAGGAGATACAGCCGCGACCTCATCGCACCTCACAGGAAGTCTCGGAGGCGCTGTTAATATTAGAGGACGCTTGCCTGAATACTCCAGACAACTTGCGTGCTGTTGGCCATTTGGAAAAGTTAAGAAAAATTATGACGTCAGCCGAAATCTGCGCGAAAACGCAGACGACAATTACAAAATACTTCAACAAATAAAAGTATGCTTCTGCAGCTTGATTTTAAATGTTGTTTTCCCTGTTCATTCGCTAATTCGGTTAATTCGGACAATTTTTCCGGTCCCGTGAATTCCGAATTAACGAGCTTTTACTGTATTACCGTCAGCACAAAGCTTTGCTTATCAGCTTTCGTGCAAACTCAAACAACGCAGAGCTTCGTACCACGGCGAAATTCAGTAAATGTAACGACTAGTTGTAATGATCAGACTTGTAATATAGAGTGGTAAATACTCGAAGATGTTTTATACAAAGGCACCACAAAAAAAAGAGGAAAACAGTCGTTCATTTGCAGAACACGACACTAAAACACAAAAAGGGTTAGGTTAACTTGAACACCCCAACCCTTCCCTTCGAAGAAAAAAAAAAACACCGAGACTTATACCGCAGCTCAACACTGCACGTCGGAAACCCGAAGGTAGGACAACAATTCCCGCAAGCAGTAGTTGTTCAGGTTGTCGAACATGGTGGTATTCTTTTTCTTCCTCGTCCTGACGCACACAATCTTTCTCTTAACGACTCCCGTTATTTGGAAGTAATTTTCTTCGATAAACCGTTCCCCCTCCTTGATTAGCGCCGAGGCAGCAGGCCTACCCTGGTTGCCGTTCGACTTGGCAAGCTCCAGGAGAAAAAAAGGGGTGTCCTTGTACATCTCGAAGGCCTCCGCCATGGCCTTACTGACATTCCTGGTCAATGCAAACTCGACGGCCAGCATCATCATGCCCTTGTTACGCCGCAGTAGCTGACTGATCTCCAATGCTGGCAAACTGGTAGCCGAGTATTTCATGCACATCATCTGGAGCGTGCAGTTCTGCTCCAGAGCCGCACTCACTAAATTCAGACGCGAATCCTCAGCCGTGGCCCGTCCCAACGTGAAGCACGCAAGCGTGTTGTTACTCTCCAAGGCGGCAGCGATGGCCGTGCAAGCAGTCGACGTCAGGCTGCCGCCTTGCACGCTGAGCCTCCAGATGCTGCTGTTGCTGGCGATGCCGTTGAAAAGCTGTATGAGACAGGTGTTCTTCACCCTCTTGGTGATAGTCACCGCCTGGATCGTCGTGGTTGTCTCGAACAGGTGAGCCAGCGCCGTGCCGTCGTCCAGGTTGAGGTGACAGTAGATCTCGACCTCCTGGATGGATTTGTTCTGAGCTAGGGCGGCACACAACTGCTCGATCTCGGGCCCACACGTGTACACGCAGAGATACCTCAGAGTCTGCGTGAGCGGCAGCATGTGCGACAGCTGCTTCATGGCGGGCGTGCCCCACACTAGCAGCTTAACACCGCTGATGGCAGTGTTGGCCGCGAGGGCTTCGGCGAATGCGTCGAGGCCCTTCCGTGAAGCGCCGTAGCTGGACTCGAGGGTCGCGTTCAACCTCACCAGAGTCCTGTTGCAGGCGATGAGCCTGCCCAACGCGGCCACACCTTCCTCGCCGAATTTGTTGCCGAACAGCGACAGCACCTTGAGCGACTTGTTGTCCATGACTGCCTCCGCGATGGCAACGATGCCTTCGTCGGATATCGCATTCAGGCAAACGTGGAGCTCTTCAAGTTTCGAGTTCACCTTCAAGGTGCTCGCTAAGGCCACAGCACCACTGGTGCCGATGGCGTTGTCTTGCAGGTTGAGCCCCGAGAGTGACGAGTTCGTTTTGAGAGTTTGGGCGAAAGCCCGGGCGCCCACGGGTCCGATGGAGTTGTTGGCGATACACAGGAAAACTAGCGTGGTGTTCTCAGCTAGCGCGGCCGCTATGGCCACAGCTCCGTTGGCCTGCAGCTTGACCCGCTGTAGGATGACAAACCTGAGATGGGTGTTCCGTCGCAGCAGGGATGCGAACTGCGTGGCGCCCCGTATGCCAACGGTGTTCATTTCGAGCCGTAAATAGTCGACGCTCTTGCTCTTTTCGAGCGCCTTGAAGAGCAGGATGGTGTCGGCCACCTTGAAGCCAGTGTCGACTAGGGCCAGCTCGCGGAGAGTCGAGTTGACCTCGACATTGAGGAAGATTGAGTGCACGTCAGAGCGGCGACGCGGTATGATGCACACATGCACGCTGAGCGGCTTGGCCCGCCACATTGCCCTGATGAAGGTATAGATCTCGTCGCTGTCCATCGCCTGGCCGTCAACGTAGAACTGCTCGATGGAAGAGTTGGGCGTCAGGTGCTGGATCACGCTCATCTTCATGCTGAACAGCTTGCCCGCGTAGCCGAAATGCACGGAGTAGATACAACGGTGGGTTGCGAGAAGCTGGGCAAGCAAAGTCACGCACACGGGGCCGTAGTCGATCATGCTCGGGTCGCAACGCGCGAACGTGTCGAGGGAAAGGCGCCCCGGGCGGTTCTCGAGCAGCTCCAGACCGATGTTCTCGAGGAAACTATTCCAAACGGCGATCTCTCTAACCAGCCAGCAAAGCTGTCGCATGGAAGTGGGCGAGTCGGCATCGGTGCAAGGGGCTCGCATGTCCAGGGAGTGTCGCCTAAAGTAGGCCTTCAGGTCACGGCTGTAAGTCGGCTTCTTCATTTCCTGCGGCTGCTTCTGTGGCCGCTTCTGCTTCAGAGTGGCTGCCATGGGAACGCCGCAGCTTGCCGTCGGTGTCATCGGCCGAAAGACACGGGCATCGGAGGCAGAGTCTTCCTGGTTCACAAGCCCGGCATAAGATGCGTTCACCGATAAAGAAGAGGCAGACGCCACAGAACGCGTCCCCGTGCTAGCCACTGGCTCGGTGAAAACGCGAAAGTAGACTATGGTGTTGTGTTCTGGTTTCGGTTTTGGTTTCGGAACGACATGTGAGGATGCCAGGGGGCGCCGCTTTGGCAACCAGGATTTCAAGGCGACTGTAAAATAAAGAGGAGAGTGCGTTGGGTAACCGTGGAGTGCGGTTGTTGTTCTTCTCTCGCCAACCCGCGTGTTCG